TTGTATGAGTCCCCATTAGCATTAGCAAATAAAAGGCAGAAATGCAAATCTGAGCACCACCACTTTCACCAAAATGAAATAGGGAATAAGGACCCTAATCAGTAACAAACTGACTGCTTCTGATAATAGAATGCCGCAGCAAACAGAATTGTTTTTCCTCTTCTTCTGCATTTGCAGTTAGCTCTTAAAAAACTTATATTTATAAGCTTATCGTCTAGATTGGGTGGAAGGAAGGAAGGCTATGGCATTTGTATATATGATGTCTGCTCAGCTGAATTTTTCCTACCGGTGTAGAACGCGACCAGGCAAAATTGCAGAAATGGTGCTGAATCTACATGGAACACTATATTTTAAACCATGGGTAGGCAAACTAAGACCCGGGGGCTGGATCTGGCCCAATCGCCTTCTATATCCGGCCCACGAATGGTCCAGGAATCAGCATGTTTTTACATGAGCAGAATGTGTCCTTTTATTTAAAATGCACCTCTGGGTTATTTGTGGGGCCTGCCTGGTGTTTTTACATGAGTAGAATGTGTGTTTTTATTTAAAATGCATCTCTGGGTTATGTGTGGGGCATAGGAATTCATTCACACCCCCCTTCAAAATATAGTCTGGCCCCCCACAAGGTTGGAGGGACAGTGGACCGGCCCCTTGCTGAAAAAGTTTGCTGAACCCTGTTTTAAACAGTGCCAATCTCCAATGGGGGCCACACAATGACTGACTAGTGCAAATATATTATACAACATCATGTTCTAACTGTATGAATGAGTTAGAAAAATCTTGTTTTAAATCAGAAAAATGTCACTAAAATACCCCCCCTCCCGGTTTGATGTCCATACATCTGCATTACAGGTTTGTGTATCAGGTCTTTTAGACTTTATTCTATGTTACTAATACAGTGGTACCTCGGGTTAAGTACTTAATTCGTTCCGGAGGTCCAATCTTAACCTGAAACTGTTCTTAACCTGAAGCACCACTTTAGCTAATGGGGCCTCCTGCTGCCGCCGCGCCGCCGGAGCACGATTTCTGTTCTTATCCTGAAGCAAAGTTCTTAACCTGAAGCAGTATTTCTGGGTTAGCAGAGTGTGTAACCTGAAGCATATGTAACCTGAGGTACCACTGTACTTGACACAGATAGACACAAAAAATTAGGCACTATCCACACAACATTTATTAACGGGCAATATAAATGCTGTAAGCTAACAAACAAACAAACAAACCCCAAAGGCCTGGAAGTCAGATTGCCTGCCTGCAAAGTCCTGTATCATGACCTCAAATTCATGGACACTCAGAGGTAAATAAAATATTCTTTCATCTTGGTCAGAGGCACTCTGTCATTTTCTTCAGAAACAGTATGTCAGCTTCCAAAATTGAAAACTGGCACACAAATCAGGTTCTAAACCCAAACTCACGTTTGATCCTAAATCTTAAACCTTTGAGGCTAACAAGCTGGGGAAGCAGTGGTAGAGGAACTGGTGACAGTTAAGCCTTCCTTTCCAATGCAATAAACAAACTTGCAGGTCTGCTGTGTGAAGTCCTTTCCATGCCATATGGAAACAAAAGACAGCCAGAGCATTAGACAAGATTTTAGCTTTTGTTTACCTCAACCTGATAAACCTTGATCGTCTCTGTTTCCTGCCTTTGATTGCTTTGTTCTCATCTTTCCTGCTAAGAGTTTACAAAACAGCAGCTAGTGAACAGGAAGATAAGAAGCGTACCTATTTGTTTAATAACATCAAGGGGGGGAAAACTGCTGGTTCATATATTTTGTTGTTAAGTTGCTCAAAAGGATCAAAATACCAATTAACTAGCTGGCTTAGAAAAATCTTTGATATCCTCAGATTTACTGACATTTCAAAACTCTTGTTCATACTTGCCTAATGGCTTTTTTGATTAGGAACAAAGAAGTGCCAATCTGTTTAGCATTTGACCTGTTTTTCTCAAATGTTTTTATGTACCGTACTCACTACTTAGTGTCTAAAGCACTTAACTTAGTCAGGGCTAAAAATCAGATTCCTGTGCCATGGGCAAATGCTTCCAAAGTCATACTATTTTATTTATATTTTGCAAGGCGGCTTACAATGACAATAAAAGTACTAAGTACAAAAACTGGCTAAAATGAAAATAGAGCCATAGGCTTCAAACTGTCTGCAGTTATTTTCTAGTACTTCTCATTCACATTCATGACGTCTGCATATTAATTATTCAGTGAAGAACCCCAGAACCTCTTCAACTGTGTATCGTCGGATGCATCACACTGAGAATTGTCAGTACCATGCCTGCCAATTCCGGGTAAACTGCAAGGCTGACCTACATAAAGCAGATAATGCAGATTGAGAAATCTGACTGAAGGTGGACTTGGCCCAGAAGACTGATATCAGATTAATCAAAATTTTAAAAATGGCATTTTCTGCTTTCTACATGCAGTGTAGAATTGACATGTATGGTCAGTTAAAACAACAGCAACAACCACAACATCCTAAAATATAATACAACCTTAGCATCATTAAATTAAGAAGGTGGGCTTTTCTAAAAAATCATAGGATCATAGAATTGAAGAGTTGGAAGGGACCCAGAGGGTCATCTAGTCCAACCCCCTGCAATGCAGGAATCTCAACTAAAGTATACATGGCAGATGGCCATCCAACCTCTGCTTAAAAACCTCCAAGGAAGGAGGGTCCACAGCCTCCCAAGGGAGTCTGTTCCACTGTCAAACAGCTCTTACGGCCATAAAGTTCTTCCTGATGTCTATGCAGAATCTCCTTTCTTGTAACTGGAATCCATTGGTTTGGGTCTTACCCTCCAGAGCAAGAGAAAACAAGCTTGCTCCATCTTCCATGTGACAGCCCTTTAAATATTAGAACATGGCTTTCAGATCTCCTCTCAGTCTGCTCTTCTCCAAGCTAAACATATCAAGCTCCCTCAACAGTTCCTTTTAAAGCTAGGTTTCCAGGCCCTTCATCATCTTGGTCCCCTTCCACAGCTTGTCAATATCATTCTTAAACTGTGCACCAAGAACTGGACGCAATACTCCAGGTGTGGTCTTTACAAGGCAGAACAGTCCAGTACTATTGCTACCCGTTATCGGGACACTATAAGCACTCTTTTAGTTACTAATCCCTATTGATTTCAATTGAATTTACTGTCAAGAGAAGGCTGGCGGTTCCAATCCCTGGGACGGGGTGAGCTCCCGTTGCTCGGTCCCTGCTCCTGCCAACCTAACAGTTCGAAAGCAAGTGCAAGTAGATAAATAGGTACCGCTCCAGCAGGAAGGTAAACAGCGTTTCCGTGCGCTGCTCTGGTTCGTCAGAAGTGGCTTAGTCATGCTGGCCACATGACCCGGAAGCTGTCTGCAGACAAACGACGGCTCCCTCGGCTGGTAAAGCGAGATGAGCGCCGCAACCCTAGAGTCGTTCGCGACTGGACTTAACGGTCAGGGGACCTTTACCTTTTAACGGAGGTTAGGATGAGGTGAAGGTGTTCCTTTGCTAGGTTCTACCAAGGTCTACTGGCAGAGCAGGGAGTTCCACCACCGCAGAGGCCCCATTGCACCCACGGAAAATGTGGCACAACATGTACAACCAACCGTGGGGCTCCTAGTAGTAGCCATCGGAAGGCCCTGAAACAGGGTGGAGCTGAGCAGCCTCAATGGTCCAAAGCTGACCCATTTCTCAGCTGAAATCTGGCTTAGCGAAACCATAAACAGTCCTGCCACTCATGTTGCCCAAGGTGGGAGGTGGGGAGGCCTGGGGCATTCTTGTGGGATGTGATACATAAGTAGCAGTCAAGTACAACATTCCTTGTTTTCCTAGAGTGGACAAGCAAGGGGATGCTTGGTCTAGCCAGTCGAAACTTCCTTGTTCCTCCTGGGCTGGAACATCCTTCCTTTTGCATGTGACTAGAGGTGGTTTGACCTTACCTGTCCAGGTAACAAAAGGACAAGGCATGCTGCCACACTCTCTCTTTTTCCATCTTCCTTTTGCCGTGTGGACTGCGTCTTATGGAGCGAATGCAGGCTGCGCAGCTATCCCAGAAGCCAGAACAGTGAGAGGGATCGCTGCGCAGCACTCCCTCTCGCTGTTTTAGCTTCTGGTTTAGCTGTGCAAAGCCTCCTCAGGGCAGCGGGATGAAGGCTCCCGCTGCCCTGAGGAGGCTTTGCGCTCCCTTTAAAGAGCATGCGGCTGTTGCTGGCTTTTGCGGGAGGTGGGGGAAGGGACAGAGGGCGGCCCCTCATGTTAGGATATTTCTGTTCTCGTGTCGCTAATAGACTGACGCTGTTCTACGGGAGACCGATGGATCGTCTGGAGATGACTGTCTCCCTGGCAGTATCCCAACACCTCGTCCCTTCCCCCACCTCCTGCAAAAGCCCCCAAGAGCCACGCTCCCTTTAAAGAGCCACACACACGCTCCGCGCGGCTCGTGAAAGGGAGCGCTGAGCAGAGCCTGGATGCATCCCAGGCTCTGCTCAGCGCTCCCTTTAAAGAATTTTTTTTTCTTGCATTCCCCCTCTAAAACTAGGTGCGTCTTATGGTCAGGTGTGGAAAAATACGGTATATACTTTGTAACTAAGTCTGCCTTCAGGGATCCAGCTGTGAACTGGTGACATGAGTAAACTTCTTTTGTATACTTTAAACAAGATTGTGGCATGTTTATTCTTTTAAGAGGGATATAAGGGAACTTACTAGGAACCTAATAGTCAGGGGCTTACACAAGCCTGCAACCAGCTATCCGCTGTGCGTTTAAAAGGGGAATGTAAAACTCTGCCAAGTAAAGGAAATTGCTAGCGCAAGTTAGGAAGGATATTAATAAAGAATACTGTATTTTTTGCACCACAACACTCACTTTTTTCCTCCTAGAAAGTAAGGAGAAATGTCTGTGCGTGTTATGGAGCGAATGCCTACGGATGGCGGGGGGATCTGCTGCAGTCGTGAGCAGAGGATCCATGGTTCCCCTTCCTTCCCTCCTCCGTGGCTCACTTTGAAACAGCAAAGCGGGAGAAGAGCCGCTGAGTGGGGAGGAGAGGGACAGAGAGCCTGCTTGCTTTAAAGGAGCAAAGCAGGAGAGGAGAGGAGCCACTTACATGAGTTGGCTCCTTTAAAGCTAGCAGGCTCTCTGTCCCTCTCTCCTCCCCACTCAGCTGGCTAAATAGTAGCAAAGTTTTTTAGCGAGCCGGGGAGGAGGGAGAGAAGCAGAGCCTGCTTGCTTCTCCTCTTATACCCCTCTTCTGCATTATTAACAGCATCCTTCTCCACCCACCCCACACGTGTTCCTTGTCCCTTGAGTGCTTTGCCTTCCCTCCCCACTTAAAACGTGGTTACAAAGCACGGATCCACATGGATCCTCAGGATTTTTGCATTGGGCTACCCCAAACTCACCGTCAGATCACATGTCTGTGAACCACAAAAATCATACATCCACTGTTTCGTTTAGAATATTTTTTTTCTTGTTTTCCTCCTCTAAAAACTATGTGCGTGTTATGGTCGGGTGCGTGTTATAGAGCGAAAAATACGGTATATCCTCTCCTGACTCCCTGAACAGTCTTACAATTCTGAATCCTGCCGTCACAGGAGCCATGTGATTCCCTCCTCCCAATTGTATAGATTAGAATGGAAGTTCCAGAGGTTCATTCATTCTGACTTTACCCAACACTATGCCGCTCACCTTTTCACAAACTCATCAAAGAGAATGCGGTGAGAATAGCCTTGCCGACGTATGTTGATCGTCTCCAGAATGCCAGTGTAGCGCAGCTGCACTAAAACTCTTTCTTGAGAAAACCTCAGGGCCTCTCGGTCATCGTTGGGTTTAATGCAGCGGACGAAATGAGGCTGCCCAATCACCATTTTGGACAACAGATCCATCAGAGAATACTGGGGAAACACAAGCAAAAATAATAAAAAAATGAGGCTCAACGATGCCCCCCTTTCTTTTAAAGGAATGAAATTCTAGCAGTCTGCTCATTCTAGTCACGTCGCATCTAAAAAGGAGTATTAACAAACTTGAAAGAGTTGGAAGGGGAAAAGATGCATAACACTGCAGATCAGATGTCCAAGGTGAATTAAAGTATTCCTTTTGAAAGCAGCCTCGTTCTCTCTCGTTTTCATCACCGGGTAAAGCAAAAGCTGCTGGAAAATGTTCTCTTTTAAAAATCTCTTCTTTTTAGGCTGTAATACTATACACACTCACCTGGAGGTAAGTCTCACTGAAGTCAGTGGGGCTTACGACTGAGTAGATAGGTACAGTGGTACCTCGGGTTACAAACACCTCGGGTTACAAACACTTCAGGTTACTGTCTCCGCTAACCCAGAAGTAGTACCTCGGGTTAAGAATTTTACCTCAGGATGAGAACAGAAATCGTACGCCGGCGGCACGGTGGCAGTGGGCAGCCCCATTAGCTAAAGTGGTACCTCAGGTTAAGAACAGTTTCAGGTTAAGAACGGACCTCCGGAACGAATTAAGTTCATAACCAGAGGTACCACTGTATATGATTGCATTGCCACTGAAAACCACTGATTTGGCAAAGAATCCCCTGAACCATTCTTGCCCCTGCACTAAGCTCAGCCGAGCTCTTTCCTGATGCTCACCTGACTCTCTTCAACTTTCCTTAAACGATTTCCTGAGCTGCCTTGTGCATCTACAGGAATCCCTTCAGGCTGGGACACTTATCTGCACTTCAGGGTCCCTGGCACACTGCCAGCACTATATAAACGACAAAGTGGGGGGTGTCAATAAAGTTATATTGCACTTTTACAATGCAGACTACATACCCTGAAATAGGAAGCCACAGTTTGCCTCTTCATGTTGGTTGTTTCCTCAGGGTGCCTCATAATCTCCATGGTGTCCACCTGAAAGAACAAGTCAGAGACACACAATGTGTAGAGTCATTTACTACCTAATCCTCAGTATATGTTTCCTAAAATTGTTTCAGCTGTTTACTGCATCATCAAAGGTTCTGCACCCATCCTAAGACCCTAAGTGTGGAGGGAGGTTTCTGACTCCAAGAGGAATTGTCTACCGGGCAACAGCCAGGATGTGGTCAAAAGTTCTTGCCGCTTACCTCAGGTCCATGTCTCCTGTTAATGGACTCTGAGATAAACATGCCTCTCAGTGACACTTCATGGGTGCGTATCACAAAGAGATGACAACATTGCAGAGAGGTGTTCTCAGTGACTGCCTCCCTTTCCCCAGCTATGTAATAATTTATCCCTGGAGACTCACCAAAGTCACAGCCTGAAGACCTATTGGAAGCCCTTCTCTCAGCCACACAGGAGAAAGGGAAGTCTGTGTCTCCACTTCCATCGTTTAGCCCAGACATTGAGGTTCAGCTCCGAGGGCCTTCTGGCGGTTCCCTCACTGTGAGAAGTGATGTTACAGGGAACCAGGCAGAGGGCCTTCTCAGTAGTTGCACCCTCCCACCAGATGTCAAGGAAATAAGCAACTATCTGACTTTTAGAAGACATCTGAAGGCGATCCTGTTTAGGGAAGTTTTTAATGTTTGATTGTGTTTTTAATATTCTGTTGGGAGCCGCCCAGAGTGGCTAGGGAAACCCAGCCAGATGGGCGGGGTATAAACAGACAAATAGACAGACAGACAGACAAACAAACAAACAAACAAACAAACACAACAACAATTATAATTCTATGTTGTGCATGTGACACAACACCATGGTTTAGGGTGATGGCTTCACAACTACAGTGGTACCTCAGGTTACATACGCTTCAGCTTACATACACTTCAGGTTACAGACTCCGCTAACCCAGAAATAGTACCTCGGGTTAAGAACTTTGCTTCAGGATGAGAACAGAAATCGCGCGGCGGCGGCGCAACAGCAGCGGGAGGCCCCATTAGCTAAAGTGGGGCTTCAGGTTAAGAACAGTTTCAGGTTAAGAACAGACCTTCGGAATGAATTAAGTACATAACCAGAGCTACCACTGTACTCTAACCCATAGGTAGGCAACCATTTTGTAGCAAGGGCCACCTGAGATGATGGGTGGTAGATTGGGGGCTGCATTTAGATGTTGGGGGGGTGACCCATCACATCCCCCACCACCTCACACACAGACACACACAACCTGACACAGTCTCCCACAGACACCCTCACAACCTGTGAATCACAAAGCACCCCCTTCACTTACAAACACCCCTAACCTTTGCCCCTCCTATCTTTCTGCATGCTGGGAACAGCATTCCTCAGCTCTTCCCAGCACCCACCAGTTAGGCAGTGGGAAGGAGAGAGGCATTGCAATGGGATCACTCCTCCCTCTGCAGGGTTCAGGTGAAGACAAGAGAGGAAGCCTATAGGCCGCAGAGAAGTCAGCTGACGTCCACACTCAGCAGTCCACAGTGCATTAGCCCAGTTTAAAACTACAGTGGCACCTTGGTTTACGAACTTAATCCGTTCCGGAAGTCTGTTCTTAAACCAAAACGTTTTTAAACCAAGGTGTGCTTTCCCATAGCAGCGGGGGACTCAATTTACAAATGGAACACACTCAACAGGAAGCGAAACATGTTTTGCTTCCAAGGCAAAGTTCACAAACCTTCACCTACTTCCGGGCTTGCAGCGTTCTTAATCCAAGTTGTTCATAAACTAAGCTGTTCTTAAACCAAGGTACCACTGTATGCACTTCCAGAAGCAACACAAAAATGATCATGGGTCTCAGCAGTGATTGACGTTGTCAGGGGTTCAGAGAGAGAGGCACAGGGTAGGCAGGAGATGGAGAGCGAAGGGGAGGAATTCCAAGCCAGCGAGGAAGAGGACGACAATGACTCAAGGGATTCCATGAGTCTTTCCAGCGAATCAGAGGATTCCCAGAAGGGGGGCGCCGGTGGTCAGGGCCAGGGGAGCCCCAGGGGGGAAATGTCAGGAG